GAGCCCGGGACGCTGCTGGGGGATGGTTTGGGATGGAAAGCTGGCAGTTTGGCACTTCAGCTCTTCTGTCTGGAGACACCAGGGTCTTCAGCATCTCTCCTAAAGGGAGCTTGATGTTATCTCGACTTTATGGAGGAGGAAACTGAGCTGGCTTTCCCTGCTTTTACATCTGTCTTTTTTTTTTTTTTTTTTAAGTTTTCCATTCTCTGTGTAATTCCGAAACGAATTTTGGGCCACTGGGCTTTTTTGTTAGTTTTCTTTTAAACCTCCGGAACAGCCCTTATGAGTTAAAAAATCCCTGATTGGTGAGTTAGGAGCACTTTCCCTGTGAATAAGCCAACTCGAATGTGCCCCTAGGAGGGGACTGAGGTGAGCAGCTCAGCTTTGTACCAGGCAGCGCTGGTGCGTGCTCGCAGGCGGTGTTTGGGCGAGCTGACTGAGGGGCGCGGCAGTTGGCACCTAACAGCTTTTAACCTTCAACAAGAGAACGTCAGCAAATTCTGCCCGTCCGCTAAAGCCAAGATTTCTGCATTCAGCCCTTTCCTGCACTACGATAGGAAAGAAATCAGAGTTCTCTCAGGGTAGGACCGTGTTCATGTGTCACTCGGGCAGCTGTTGGTGCCTCCTACCGCCAGTAGAGCTTCGGTGCTGTGGAGGTGGCCAGCTTGCATTGAACAGCCTCCGGAAAAAGATGTCTTTAGCATCTTGGCATTTTCCATATTTTCATTTCTAAACGTCAAATGGACTTTAAAGCAAGGTAACGGCACGTTTTAACAATGTTTACCCTTTTTGCCCAAACTACAGTTGTACGTTGGCTGTTCTTCGGATGAGCAGTCGCCAAATTTTTTTTTTTTATGTGTAGGCACCTCCATCACTCACAACCTCCCCCCTGGCCCCGGCAGCCGGTCCGTTGCCGTCGAGGGCATAGCCCTGTGCGTAGCAGTTCTCAGCCAGAGCCGGGCTCGTGTCTCACTGCAAGGTTTTGCGTTTGCAGTGTCTGGAGAGAGGCGAGGGACCGCATCGTTGGCTTCCCGGGGCGCTACCACGCGTGGGACATCCCCCATCAATCCTGGCTCTACAACTCCAACTACTCTTGCGAGCTCTCGATGGTGCTCACTGGTGCTGCCTTCTTCCACAAGGTGAGCTGTCACCGCCACGACGCCCTCAGCTTTCCCTTCCTCTCAGAGTCGCCAGCGGCGGGATGTTTGGGGGGGTTGTATTTGGGTGGTTTTTTTTTTTTTTTTAAAGAACGTATTTTGGAGCTCACCACTCCTTTTCCCTCCCTTTCTCCAACCTGAAACACGGCCAGCGACTGGTCTGTGTCCCGGCGAGCGGTCTCCTCGAGGTGCAGAGTATTTTGTGCCACGTGAGAAGCACCGTGGCACCGAGGAGGGTGTCGTGACCGAGGGCGAGGCGGGCCACGGTGTTCGCAGTCGCAATCGCGAAAGAACTTATCTCCCCAAAGCAGATAAGCAGGCACTTCTTTATTCCAGCGCTGGGGAACACGGGGGATAACTCCGCCAAAGACGTGTTCCCCGACAGATACAAACCACCACATATTTATACACTTTTTCAGCAGAGTCCTGGTTGCATAATCATGGTTCCATAATCATTTTAACTCAAGATCCATAATCAGTACCCATTGTTTTGATTCAGAGTCCATAACGATTCCTGTAGTGATTAAGGCAAACACCATACTAGTTAATAACGATTCCTGTAGTGATTAAAGCAAACACCATACTAGTTATCTGTTCCTAAGGGCCTCAACATACCTTATATTGTCCTAGCTGCTACAACTCCATTTTAAATCAAGGTCATTTTTTAAGCTAAAATCAAAATAATATTCTAGGATTCAAACTATATTATTAAGGTATTTGCAACAACGGCGTTGCCTGCCCCTGTAGCAGCTTTAACCTTACAGACTCCGAGTGTTGCAAGGAGTAATTTGCGGGGAAGTCGTGGGCTTCTGCAGCTGCCTGGTGGCACGGGCCGGCTGGGAGGCGGCTGGTTTATACTGGGAGGGAGCAGTGCAGAAAGTGCCTCTCTGTGCGGGGGAGGCAGCAGCCGGCAAACGGACCTTGAGAAAAGGGTGAGCTGCTCTTTTCCCCAGGGGACTGTCCTGTCGCGGTGGGAAGGTCACCCACCAGCTACTGCTGCCGTGCTGACTCCGCAGCAGCACAGACAGGAAGGTCTGAAGGGGCTGAAACCATCGTTTCGCGGTTTCTGAAGTTACAGGAGCCTTGGGGCTCGGTCAGGGTGGTGGCTGGGGGGTGGGTTTGCTGCTGCTCTGGCTGCAGCAGATCTCCTGGGTGCAGGATCCGCTCCGCTGTGGGGAGTCTCTCCACTGGCATCCTTGAGCTCTGCTTAGCACCACCGTGAGCGACGTCGTGCCGTTTTATCCCTTCCAGTACTACGCCTACCTGTACTCCTACGTGATGCCACAAGCCATCCGCGACATGGTGGACGAATACATCAACTGCGAGGACATCGCCATGAATTTCCTGGTCTCTCACCTGACGAGAAAACCTCCCATAAAGGTAAAGCATAAAGGAGAAACAGCGGTTTGGTCGATCCCTGTGAAAGGGAAGGGGTGTGTCAGGAGGCTGCTCTGCTCCAGGGCAGATCCTGTGCCATGCAGCCTGCCCTGCCCTTACCAAAACCTGGCCGCACCGCAAGCGTGACCTGCTCGAGGCTCTCAGCACGTCCCCTGTCTGGCCTCGAGGAGATGTAGCACCTCTTCAGAGAGGTGTGAAAATTCACTTAGAAGCAGCCAAGTCCCCGCCGTGGCGAGCGGATGAAGTGGGGATTAATTGACCCCACAGCTCAGACCGGAGGGTTTCCTGGCTCAGCAAAGGCCCTTTTGGGCAGCTGATCCTGAAAAGACAAATTTCCTTCTTCCCATAACATGCGGCGCCAGTAGGCATGATCTCCTTGCTGATTTTGTTTGGCTTTCCAGAGACATTTAGGCTCATCTGCACGCGGAGGGCTGACGGTCCAAACACTGCAGCCCAGCTGACATTTCCTTGCCCTGTGACAACAAACGAATGGCACAGTTTTGAGTGTGGATTTCAGATGCAGATCGTTCTGCTCTTTATCGCTGCTGGCAAACTGCTCTTCACAGCCCTGCAAATGTCTCGCTGTCACAGGCCAGCTGCCTTGGAGATGGGTCTTGGCCATAAATGTGATGGGTGGGTTTTTCTGTGTGGTGGTCTTCCCATCTGGAGCCTACTACAAAGTGGAGGCTCTAGAGTTTGGTGCAGCTGAGAGGAGAATCGGACCAAAACCAAAGGGCAGTGCAAAGGGACGGCCGATTCAAGACAGACAAGGTGGCCCTTAAATCAACGGGCGGCCCCTCAGCACCTCCTGAACACCAGAGCCCCCTCCAAAGATCTTATGCTGGGTGCCTAAAACAGGAGGCGCCCCAAATTGCTGATTCTTCTGTAGCATCTGTGGGCAGCAGGGCCAGGGAGGGGATTCTCCCCCTCTGCTCCGCTCTGGGGAGACCCCCCTGCAGTGCTGGGGCCAGCTCGGGGGCCCCCAACAGCAGAAGGACCCGGAGCTGCTCGAGCGGGGCCAGAGGAGGCCACGGAGATGCTGGGGGGGCTGGAGCAGCTCCCCTGGGGGGCCGGGCTGAGAGAGTTGGGGGGGTTCAGCCTGGAGAAGAGAAGGCTCCGGGGAGCCCTTCGAGCGGCCTCCCAGGGCTTAAAGGGGGGGCAGGAGAGGGGGGGGGGGGGACTCTGGGTCGGGGGGTGGGAGTAGGACGAGGGGGGACGGGTTTAAACTGCGAGAGGGCAGATTTAGGTGAGATCTAAGGCAGAAATTGTTCCCTGTGCGGGGGGTGAGGCGCTGGCCCAGGGTGCCCAGAGCAGCTGTGGCTGCCCCCTCCCTGGAAGGGTTCAAGGCCAGGTTGGACGGGGCTGGGAGCCCCCTGGGCTGGGGGCAGGGGGCCCTGCCCGGGGCAGGGGGGTGGGACTAGGTGATCTTTAAGGTCCCTTCTTACCCAAACCAGTCTGTGATCCTGTCTGTAGCCACTGAAAAGAAAGCAGTTCCTCTCTCAAGGTCTTTTTGTTTTTTTCCTGAAGCAGCTTCTCAAACGTTAAACCAGAAAAAAAGTAACTAAGCATCGGGAGATCATCCCGTCCCCCCTTTAGGCCTCTGCTCTGGCAGAGCTGCGGTGGACCGTGTCCCTCCTCGCCCGGACACCCCCAAGGGGCAGCCGGGGAGAGCCCGGCCAAGTTTGTCCCCGTCTGTGACACGTCACGCAGGCCGGCGAAGCCGCGTCCCCCCGCGCAGCGCCTCGGGCAGGGCGTGTGTGTGTGTGTGTGTGTGTGTGTGTGTGTCCCTGGGCCGGGGGTGCTGCCCCCAGCGTGGCGCTGACCCTCCTCGTCCCTCTCCTCGCAGGTGACCTCCCGCTGGACTTTCCGCTGCCCCGGCTGCCCCCAGGCGCTTTCGCACGACGACTCTCACTTCCACGAGCGACACAAGTGCATCAACTTTTTCGTCAAGGTGTACGGGTACATGCCCCTCCTGTACACCCAGTTCCGCGTGGACTCGGTCCTCTTCAAGACCCGCCTGCCCCACGACAAGACAAAATGCTTCAAGTTCATCTAGAGGCGGGAGGCAGCCGGGCACCCTCAGCTCTCCGAACTTCGGCCGGCGGCAGGTGAGGGCAGGGGGGTGGCTTTTTCTGACGGAGCTGCCAGCGCAAAACGCCTTTTGCTGTTGACTCCGGCCTCCTCCCGCGGAGCAAAAGGGACGTCCTGGAGTGGGACGGGCGCGTTTCCCCCTCCCTTCCCGCTCTCCCCACAGCGACTCGACCGAGCGACAGGGAACGGGATCTCATGGCGTCTGTAAAGACATTCCCTAGGATCGTACACTGAGGAATGGCACGTTGGCTACTGGCTCTGCCCCTTCGCTAGCCAAGGGCAACCATTCTTTTTAATTATAATTATTGTTATTTAAAATGAAAGTGTTTTAGATTTGCCGCGTGAGGCTTTTTTTTTTTTTTTTTTTTTTTTCTCTCTCTCTTTTTTCCCCCCTCCCTTTTCTTTTTTTCCACCCCCCTACCCACCCTTTGTTTCCCCTCTGGACCTGCCTGCCCACCCGAGGGGGACCGTAGCAAGGCCAGGTTGGAGGGTTTGACTGCAGAGAGGTTATTCCCAGCATCGAGGCAGCTCCGCTCTCCGCTGTTCTCCCGCGGGGCAGCCTTTCTCCTCCCCTCCCGCCCGCCACGTCCCGGCTCGTTTTGCCCCGTGGCTACTACTGAGGACTTTCAGGTATCGGCTGGTGACGAGCTCTTTCCCCTGCTCTGCTCACCACCAAGCCCTGCCCTCGCAGAGGAAGAGTTTGGCCCCGGAGGGTCCTTCCCCGGCTCCCAGCCCCACGCTGGTCCCGTGCCGCGGCCCTGGGGGAGTTTGGTTGCTGCTGGTCCCGTCCTGGGTGTCCTCTCCCACCCCACGCCGCTAAACCTCGGAAAGCTGGGGGGCGTGGTGGGGGTTTGGGGATGATCCAGCTGCAGCAGCACCAGAGGCAGCTGTGAGAGCCTCTGTGTCTGGCCCGGCCTCTTCACAAGCGCTTTGGGACTTTTCCTCCTGCCCTTCGGGGCCTTGTTCGCCGGCCCTTGGAGATCTGCTCCCGTAGCACCCCGCGATCGCCTACGCGAGCCTTTGCTGAGCAAATCCACCTCTTCCCCCAAGGCATCCAAGCGCGGGCGCAGTCTGCGAGCCCCTTCGCGGTGCCTGGTCCCTGCCCCGCGCCGGCACGACGGGAGTCGGGACGTCGTGGACCTTCTCTTGGGATCGCGTCACGGTTTGCAGAGCGGAGGTGGGAGAAGGCACCCAACCCTGAATCCGCGCAGCCGAGGCGAAGCGCCGGCCCAGCCCCGGGGCTGCACCGTGGGCCGCGTCCCCCCGGCCCACGGCGGGTTTGCCCCGTGGGCCTCCGCGTAACTGCCTTAACCCCCGTCCCCTCCGCACTCGGGCTCTGGCTTCGGGCTGCGTCCGGAGGTTAATCCCGCCGAGAGCTGGGAGACGCCGCCGGCATCGCGCTCGCGGGGCTGGTTTGGGAGCTGGTTTCTCTCCCTCTCCTCCAGCAGCGAAACGCCGTTGCGTCCGTGCCACCGCCCGGCCCCCGCTGCTCCGTTCTGCTTCGCCCCCGGCCTGTAACAAGAGGGAAGGGACACGGGCTGCCCTCTCCCGCGTGACGTTCTCCCTCAGGGCGTCCCAGAAGTTTAAGGGCAGCCCGGAGAAGCTCTCGCTGGGTGGACGGGAAGGTGAAACTTGTCCCCGCTTGTGCTGGCCCGACGCCCAACCGTCCCAGCACCCCGCGGCAGAAGGATGTTACCGCCCAGTTGTGTCGTCGGCGTGTCCCAGAGGAGGAGCGGGGATGGTCTGCGGGCAGCTCCTGGGCTCGCTGGTGAGGTCAGCCCCGCCTGCACCCCTCCCCTGCCGCCTGCACCACGTTTTTGGGGGGGTTCAGCGGCCTCTCCAGCCAGTTTTTCACTGTCCGCCCCACGGATGGAGGTCACCAGCACTTGCTCCATGATAAAGGGAAGGGGCAGCCCATCCCCGGCAGAGACGGCAGCTCGTGCCTTCACCAGCGCTACCGACCGCAGCGAAATAAGGATCAAGGTATCTTTTCCTCTCCATAGTTCTTCTCCTTTCCGCTTTTTCATTGCGTTAACATCAGGTGCTCGGGACGGAGCATGCGACGGCTCACAGTCTCCTTAAAAACGCGACCGGAGACTCCTGCGAGGCCCCAAAACGCCTGGAAGGATTTTTTTTCTGCCCCTGCTCAGAGTGGAACCGTGGCGCTTGGCAGCGGCTGCACCAGCTTCAGCATCCCCGAGGGGCCTGCCGCCCCGCTGCCGCCCGGCTTGAATTCTCCCCTCGTTAATAGGTGGTTCGTTAGCGGCGGTGCCGTCGCTCCCGTGCAGCACCGGTCGCTGGTGTCAGCAGCTCGGCCCTCCCCGGCCCGCTGCCCGCACGGCAGGGCTCAGGCGGGAGGAAGGACCGATGCAGGCGTGGATTGCACTTTATATAGAGATACACACTCCTCAGCAAGTTATTTTCAAAAAAGCTTAAGGGAAATTTTATTATTCCTGGTGAGAGAGTGTAATACGGGGAGCTTGGAAAAACAGGGACGTGGCGTGAAGTATTGCGCGTCGGGGGGGCTCAGGGTTTGCTGAGCCTCGCTGCGTGGCTGCGGTCGGAGCTGGTGGTGAAGGTGGGGGGTTTCTTCCCTTCCGTCGGTGCGTTTCGGTTCCAGGCCGGTAGAAAGGCAGGGAGCAGCGCTGGAGAGCCGAATCGTTCTTCTTCCCAAGGCTCTTAACGTGCTCAACTCTTGCCCAAAGCGTTGGTGTTTATTTGTTTTTTTGGTTTTTTTTTTGGAGGATCCCCGGTGCTGCGGGGGCCGGGCTCGGCGTGCCGTGGCTGAGCAGGGAGAGGCTGCGTGGGTCCTGGGGTGGGGGGGGTTCTCCCTGCTGAGACCCCCCCCCGGAGCAGGGGGGTCCGGGGGTGAAGGGGCAGCCGGGTGCTGCGGGTCACTGATGGCAGCTGCTCGCTCCGGGGTGACGCCTTGGGCGGCGGCAGCGTTGGGGGGGGGGGGGGGAAGGGGGTGCCACAAGGAAACGAAACGCCAGCGAGCGCCGGGCCGGGCGCTCTCCCTCCCAGCCCTCTGCTGCTGCAGCGGCTCTTTGCCCAAATCCTCCCAAATAGCCACCAAAACCCCTCCGGAGCACCAACTCACACTCCGACTCCGGAGACATCCCAGGATCTGAGCTGTCCTTACGCTTCCCTCCAGCAGCTGGGAGGAGAGGGGCCTTTCCGACGAGGGATCCAGCCCGTGCCACCGTCCCGAACATCCTCCTCCGCTACCCCGCCGCTCCCCCGGGATTTCCGGGGGGCCCCGGGGTAACCCCGAAGCTCAGGTTAGGTTGTACGATTCGTCCCAGCTCCAGCACGGAGCAGCCTGGCGCCCACGGGCTCGGCCCCGAGGGGACGGGAAGGTTTTCCCGGCGGCTGCACCTTTCCCAAGGGAAAAGCCTCTTCCCCTTTCCAATGTTTCTGCTGCTTCACCCAGGACCGGGGGCTGCGGGTGCCGGGTGCGGAGCGAGGTCTTTTTTTTCACATTCGCTGTAAATAGCATCGTCCGCGGTGACACGGACCCACCCCCCCACCCCCCCCCCCCCGTTCATGTCGCACAGCCCCTGCCCTCCCCCCGCGCCCTGGTTGTGCTAACTGCTCCGTGAGCACCAGGTTTAAAAAAAAAAAAAAAAACAAAAAAACAAAAAAACCACAAAAACCGAGAGAAAAGAAACTCCTTCAACACGAGCACAATGTTGAGGTTTGTTTTTTTTTTTTTTTTTTTGTAAAAGGATCCAATAAATGGAGAGTTTAACTTGAGGGCGTCTCCGTGCCTGCTTTGCTGGGGGCTGGGAGAGAGGGGTTGGGGCTGGGACGGGGCTTTGCCGTGGCAGTGCTGCTCCGTGGCCCTGGGGCACCCCGAAAACAAGCATCTCCCCAGGTTTGTGTTTCCCGAGGGAGCTGGATTGAAATGGTGGAAACCCTTCAGGAGCAGCAGCTGATGCTAAAACCAGTTGTAGCCATCAGTGGGCTCGTGGCTGGGCCAGAAGAACCCCCCGGTCCAGCCCTAGGGGGACGTCACATTCCGGCTGCCAGGGTGACCCGGGGCTGCTGGTGGCATCGGGGACACCCAGCCAGGACAGCAGGTCCGGGGGAGGCTGGAAACCCTTCGATTTCTGCATCCCCAGTCGGAATCAGCCACGGGCAGGAGGCGGAGGCCGATAAACCAGCCGGATCCGTGTGATTTCTAACGGGATTTCCACCAGCTTCAAACCCGCGGGGAGGAGCAGAGGGGAGGAATCCACAGGCCGTGGGCTCCCCCTTGCATGTGGGGCTGGAAATCCCGCAGGATTTCCTCCACCGCAGCTGGATTTCCTTTCTGCTGCTTTTTTTTTTTTTCCCGTTCCCCCTCAGCAGCCGTTTCCTCCGCGGTTCTTTGGTCACCTCTGTGTCACCTTGCTGCTGTCCCCCTGGGAAACGTGCCCTTTATTTTCCCTACTGCCTCCGGGGAAAGGCTTTGCCCTACCGGGACTGCTCGTGCTTGGTTTTATTTCCAGAAGGGGTTTCAGGAAAAACCCCAAATTATTTTCATCCTGGAAAGGAGGTGGGTGCTCTGCCCAGGACCTGCCTCCCAAATTCTTTGGGGTTTGGCCCCAGAATCTTGGGGGGGGGGGGGGGGGGGGGGGGGGGGGGGGGGGGGGGGGGGGGGTGTCGCTGCTTTGGGGGTCCAGCTCCCCGATGAGCCCAGCAGCATCTTGGGCGCTGGCTCCACCGGAGCAGATTCGCTCGTGGGGCTTTGCCAGCCCTTATGCAGCGGATAAAAAAAAAAAAAAATTCTTCTGTTAAAGCAAATGATTATTAGAGCTGTAACCGCTGTGACTGACCTTGTGAGCCGAGCCGCCGCACCCCGGCTCCTGTTTGGTTTTGTTTTATTTTTTTCCCCCCTCTGTGAGGGTTTGTACTTTGGGATGGGGGAAGAGGAGCGGGATAAATCCCCCTAGTCATTCATTCCCTTCTACCAGGAGGGAGGGCAGGCGGGAGGTGCTTTACGCTCCACTCCTCTACACTAAAAAGCACCCTCAATTTTCCCTTCCTGATGACACATTCCTTGATAAAAAGCCATTTCACTGAAATTGCTCCCCATGTTTCCGTCCTGCTCGGCAACACCGGAAAAACCACCCGCTCCAGCGAGAGCCCAGGGAAGGGACCTGCAGCCACGGGCGCGGACACTCGCCCCCTCCCACAGCCCTGCCTTATGCCCCCGCCACGCTGGGACAGGCAGGGAGAGGGGAAATTACTGGTTGATTTTGTTTTTTTTTTTTTTTTCCCCACCTGGAAACGCAGAACAGCAGCAGCAGCACAAAGCCGAGGTCACACTGGGCCCGTCGGTCCCAGGGCAGGTAGATGAATCGCTTCGCCACCCACGGGCCAGGGCAGCCAACGTTCCCCAGCATCTCTTTCCTGTTTAAAACAAATACAAAGAGGCTTAAAATCAAGTGTGTGGCGTTGTGGGGAGCGGGACAGGTGCTGTGGGGGCATTTTAAATCCCTAAATCCATGCAGTTTTTCAGAGCGGGTCGCTGGGCCCGTGCTAAGCGATGTGCAGGCTGTGTGGGATTTACGGCTCCGTCTTGCTGCCCGCGATGGACCATGAAAGGCTTTTGGGATGAAAAATAGGTTTGTTTGGTTTGGGTTTTTTTTTTGTTCTCTCTAGTGTTTCAAGAAGTTGTTCTGGAGTTGGGCTGAAAAGCAAAGGGCTGCTGCGTTCCTGTGGGTGCCCAGCGCACAGTGAGGGTCACCCATCAGCCGCCTCGCGCCAGGGGTCCTGCTTTTACCCCCAGGGCTGCGGCACTCGGCTGCAGTGGGGATAAATACAAAGCTGGAATGGGACGGAACGGAACGGAACGGAATAGAATAGAATAGAATAGAATAGAATAGAATAGAATAGAATAGAATAGAATAGAATAGAATAGAATAGAATAGAATAGAATAGAATAGAATAGAATAGAATAGGACAGGACAGGACAGGACAGGACAGGATAGGCTGGACTGGAATTTAGAATAGAATAGAATAGAATTTAGAATAGAATAGAATAGAATAGAATAGAATAGACTGGACTGGAATGGAATAGAATTTAGAATAGAAAAGAATAGAATAGAATAGAATTTAGAATAGAATAGAAAGAATAGAATAGAATAGAATAGAACAGAATAGAATAGAATAGAATAGAATAGAATAGAATAGAATAGAATAGAATAGGATAGGATAGGATAGGATAGACTGCAATGGAATAGAATTTAGACTAGACTAGAACAGAACAGAATAGGATAGACTGGACTGGAATGGAATAGAATAGAAAATAGAATAGAATAGAATAGAATGGAATGGAATGGAATATAATTTAGAACAGAATAGAATAGAATAGAATAGAATAGAATAGAATAGAATAGAATAGAATAGAATAGAATAGAATAGAATAGAATAGAATAGGACAGGACAGGACAGGACAGGACAGGACAGGATAGGCTGGACTGGAATTTAGAATAGAATAGAATAGAATTTAGAATAGAATAGAATAGAATAGAATAGAATAGAATAGACTGGACTGGAATGGAATAGAATTTAGAATAGAAAAGAATAGAATAGAATAGAATTTAGAATAGAATAGAAAGAATAGAATAGAATAGAATAGAACAGAATAGAATAGAATAGAATAGAATAGAATAGAATAGAATAGAATAGAATAGAATAGAATAGGATAGGATAGGATAGGATAGGATAGACTGCAATGGAATAGAATTTAGACTAGACTAGAACAGAACAGAATAGGATAGACTGGACTGGAATGGAATAGAATAGAAAATAGAATAGAATAGAATAGAATGGAATGGAATGGAATATAATTTAGAACAGAATAGAATAGAATAGAATAGAATAGAATAGAATAGAATAGAATAGAATAGAATAGAATAGAATAGAATAGAATAGAATAGAATAGAATAGAATAGATTTCAGTTGGAAGGGACCCACCAGGCTCATCGAGCCCAACAGCCCAACAACAGCCCAGCAGGGCTGACCGAAAGTTGCAGCGTGTTGTTAAGGGCCTCGGGAGCTGCGACTGAGGCTCAAAATAGTAAATATTAAGCGCAGTCAGGGGGAAATGAGCAGTTATTAGGCAGGCAATTAATGAAAGACCTATGCTGCGCTCAGTGTTGTGCCTGCAAGGGAAGGATAATTGTCACCCTTCATTTGAGCCCACTAAGTAATTTAATGTAGGTAAAAAAAAAAAAAAAAAAATAAAACAACTCTCGTTCAAGCGTCACTAGTCCTTGGGAAGGGCTCCCTGGAGCCCAGCCCTGCCTGGGGATATGCAGCGAGTCCTGAGGCAGAAAACCAACAGCATTTTGGATTTTTTTTTTTTTTTTCCCTCCTTCAAGAATAAAAAAAGAGAAATGAGGTGTAACCCCTCTTCCTACCGCCTTGGTTTTAAAGCCCCTTGGCTGCTTTTCTCACAGGCATTTCTCAGCAGAGTGCCCCGCTCGCTTGTGTAGCTGGTTTTTAAGCTCTCGCCCTGCATGTTTTGCTGCCAACGTGGTGATTAGAATAATAAAAATAGACCAGTGGTGATGTCTTTGCGTGTGGTTGGGCTTCTCCGTGCAGCGACATGGGGCTGCTTTGCTCCATCTCTCACCCTTGTTGTTACCCAGTATCCATTAATGTCAAGACAATTATAATAATAATGCAAAGTTTTACCGAGAGGGAGGCCAGCGTTGGCACTTTTGGTTATTGCTGCAGTAGGAACTGGCTGGTTTAGAAGTTTTTCTCACCAGGCAGATCGTGCTCCCCCCACGGCTTGGCTGAACCACACGGAATGATGTTCTGCCTCAGGACATTTGCTGCCACAACTTTAATTATCCACAGCAGCCCGGTCTCACCACACTTGAGATGGAGCTGTTGCCCCTCTGTGCGCTCAGGGGCATGGAGAGGAATGTGTCCTAGGGACACTCAGGGCTAAGGGAGAGAAAAGCTGGAAGAATAATTTAATTTTTTTTTGCCGTAGGCTGGGCAAAGAGCCTTGAAATGTTTAACCCTGCCACTAAAAATGCAGGAAATTGGTGCCGTGTCTGCTGAAAGAGGCGTTTGGGCCGAGTTAATCCCACTTGATGCCACCGGACTGCGTCGCATCGGTCCCTGGGAGAGACGCAGGGTGCGGCCCATGATCTCCCGCCCCGCCGACGCCTTGCCCAGGGCACGTTACCGGCCACTGGTTCCTGGCCAGGGCTGCCCCGTGACCCCCAAGTGTCCCCGGGGGTGAGAATTCCCTGCAGCCCCCCCGGAGCTGCCGCCACAGAACGTGGGTCCCCGTGGCAGGCCCTGGAGAGTGGCCGCGGCGGGGGGGGGGGGCTTGGTCAAGGTCACAGGGAGAGACTTGGCTTGGTCCTTGGGGGCCACGAGACTTGGTCCCCAAAACGATGGGGCCCAGGCGGTGGGTTTGGAGGGGCAGGTGCTTGGTGATGAGCCCGGGCTGGTTGGTCCCAGGGGATGGGTCCCCGAGGGGCGGGGTCACAGTTCGCGGGGCGCATGTGCTGGGTAAATGGGGACCCCTTTGATCAGCCGCATCGGCACAGACCCAACATCTTGCTCCAGTTTCCTTCTGTTCATCATGTCCGAGTCCCCGGGGAGGTGGCCCTGGTGGGGCTCAGGGCACTCAGCCGGTGGCATCGGGGCCAGCTGATCCCCCCACGACGCCGACAGCATCTGGGCACGGAGCGGGGGGAACGACGTGAGCCTGGAACGAAATGACTTGGTCCACTTGTTTT